GTTCTTGGATTTTCTGTGAGTCTAGTTCATTTTCCATAATTTCTTGATCCCTTCTAACATTCCCTAAGGAAGGTTCAGGAAGTACCTTGTTATTCCTAAGGACAACAACACTCACATTCTCCTTAGGAGCAGGAAATGGTTGAGCAGGTAACCTGATGTTAATTTGGGCCTACAAATTACTCAACAAGGTATCCTGGGCTGTTTGCCTTTCTTGCATTCGCTTCATATTCTAATCAACCAGGGAGAACTTGTCCTCCATTTTTTTCAAAATTACTTCCAGCATTTGGTGTGTTTTATCAACACGACCAGGAGGGTTGTTTAGATTTGCAGAAAAATTGTTGTTGTTTGTATTTTGAAAACCTGGGGGATTTGGTCTGGGACCATATCTCAGATTTGGATGATCCCTCCATCCTTCATTGTAGGAATTGGAGTAGGGGTCATACCTTCTCTGTCCTTGATTGTTAAAAGCAGCTTTGACCTCACAATTTTGAAAATTTTCTGATTGAAAACCAGGAGCTGAAAACATTTGATTTTGAAAATTAGGACACACTTCTAAAGTATGCCCTTCTAGACTACACACAGAGCAAACTGACTTCTTGATCCCCCCCACACTAACAATTTGACCCATAATCTTGGTGAGATTGGCAATGTGATCAGTGAGGCCGCAAGAGATTCAGTTTCCTTTTTTGGTTCATTAATCCTAAGTCCAAATTGTTGTGTATTCTGAGATATAAGATTGAACAAATTCCTAGCTTCCTCTGGGGTCTTAGTAACTAAAGCACCACCACTGGCAGCATCTACCATACTTCTATCCATTAGGGATAACCCTTCATAGAAGTACTCGATGAGCAGCTGTTCAGAGATTTGATGCTGAGGACAACTAGTACAGAGTTTATTGAATCTCTTCTAATATTCAGAAAATGATTCATTCCCCAGTTGTTTTATCCCACAGATATCCTTTTTAATAGATCCTATTCTAGAGGCAGGGAAGAACTCCTCTAAGAATGCCCTATGCAGTGATGGCCAGGTTGTAAAAGACCCTGGAGGCATATAGTACAGCCAATCTTTTGCTCTATCCATCACTGAAAAGGGAAAGGCCCTAAGTCTGATTTGCTCTTGAGGAACTCCTTCAAGTTCCATGGCTGCACATGTTATGAGGAACTCATTAACATGTCTATAAGGGTCTTCACCAGGCAGGCCATGAAACTTGGGAAGCATATTCAAAAATCCAGAGTTTAATTTCAATGGTTTTTCCAAAACAGCATATGTAATGGACATGGGCTGGGTCTGAAGGTCAGGTGCAGCTAGTTCCCTTAAAGTTACCATGTTATTATGTGATTGGAAAGGAGAAACAATTACCTCAGTTTCAGATTCTAATTCAGAATCAAAAGAAGTAGCAACCTCAGATAAACTGACCTGATTCTCCAAATTAATTTCAACACTTACCCTTGTGGTCTCCAAACCACTTCTTAACTGCATCAAAAGGCAGATACTGACACAACACTTAAAACAAGGGTTAGTGCTAACTCAACAATGAGTCACAGCAGAAAAGAAGAGTTTGCACTTTGGTGAATTTTTATCAATGTATAAAAGACACAGATGTTCACAAAAACAACTTATAAAGACCTAGTATGACAGTTAGAAAAGATAGAAGAGATCAAATCCCCAGCAACGCCGCCAAAATTTGTTAGCCACTTGTCAGGTGACAACAAATTAACCTATTCCCCAATTACTACACACTTATAAAAATGGTAGCAAAGTGGTAAGTAGGGTCATTCTTCCACAGGGAGATTTGTCTTCTATTATTTCTTCTCTTGATTTATTGCTCAATTTCCACAACACACACACACACACGCAAGGGGGGGTTGTTCATAAGATGCTAATGCGACGTAATGAAAACAGATTCTAACAGAAACAATGAGAACAGATCAAAGAAGGAGAGAGAAGATCAGGTAAAGATTTGTGGTTATCAAATAGAGTGAGCAAGCTTGTCTGGTGGAATTAGATCAGTTGTTCAGATCAAGGTAAAAAAATCAGATTCTCAGTTAGACAAGTTGTTGAACTAAAGTGAGATTTAGCTCTCTCAGCAAGAAACTAAATCTCCACCTCAAAAATCAGCCCTTAAGAGAGATGAGCACTGCCTAAGGACCTGTACCTACATTAATAATCTCAGGATGAGCCTGATGCAAATTAACATAAGCATGAATTCAGTTACAAAAACCTTTTGAACATACAATGTACTTGGACAGCCAACTACACTATATGCCAGTTGTTTGACCCCAAATAAGAATTTCAGACTGAATAATTGAGGCATGAGACCTACAACCAACAGATTTGAAAAGCTGAGCACAAAACAGGATTGAACAACCTTCAACAACTGTCTAAACCTCGAATCATTGCAATGATCACAAATGCCTAAGAACTGATCCTAAATTTCCACCAGACAAGAGAGGGATTACTCTCGGGACATGATCGTGATAATCTATTCAGAATTTAAACACATGATCCCAGGAAAATATTGTCCAAATAAGAGATTAGGACTCAGATTTGAAAAGCACGAAATCACACGTTCAGTTATGAATCAACAATTCAAACAATCCTCAAACATTAGGAATGTATCTCGAATTTGGAAACAAAAGCAACGGATTACCTCTGGACAGCGTTCGAGGATCAAATCCTGCGAACGTGATGACTCCTCTGTTCGGCTATAGTGCATGATCAGGAGAAGCGCTTGGTGATTGTGCGACGGTTGATGATGATCGCGAGGTCTAACTCGCCGGATTATGCCTGGTCTGTTGGAAAACATTTTCACTTTGACATTTAGCTAATGACAATGTTTGTTTCCGTTTAGGTTTTGATATTGACAAACCGTCGGGAACATGGAACAAAATGAAAAGATTCAAAGAGATAGAAAAAGTTCCTTGAGGAAACAAAAAGCACAAGAAAGGCATTGACGTTGCTAAAGATGGCGACATTGGCGCTTTGAAGACGTATTCTAAAGACTTAGGTTTTATTGTAACAAGCTCATTCAATTTCTCTACGTCATGGCTCAAAACAAAATATGTTTTTCATGCATCAAAT